AAGGAATTTCCTACGGTATTAAGCGCTGTGGACCAAAACTTAGTGTTTGGGCATGTTGTACTATACAAGAACATTAATGAAAAAGCAAAACTATGTCGTTTCCGAGAACGGAAAAGGTTGTTTTGTGTCCATGAAAATCAGATAAATATTAGTATCGGAAATCGCATTGTCTTCGAAAAAAGAAGAGTGCATTCAGTTTAAAAAATAATGTCTTACAACTCTGGTGCGATTTGTGCCACAATATTAAGTACTAAAGTTGGGCAGTTGTAGTTTATTTTACTACACCGAAAATAACGACCGTAATCAAATATATGCATACAAACACCCGCAAAATGCCACTACTTTTTTGCTCGCGTTGAATAGAAAAAACAAAATCAAACACACAAAGAGCAGTCAAATTAACCGGGGCACATTTGATTGTGGAAAACGGGTCCATCTAGGTTTAGTTTAATGCAAGAAAACAGGATTTTGTTGGGGGATGACAACAACTGAAAAATGCGATAATACCGATCAGTAAAGATAGCGCGCCGACGCATAGATCTGATATTTGAAATCACTCCACAAAAAGCGAAGAAAAGCCTGATAATTGTTTCTATGTCAGCGTTTATCCCACGGAAGCGCGGTCGTGTTCCCTGCACAAATTTCATACCATATACTGATAGCACATTTTGCGGTACTGCGCAATGCATACAAGTACATGAAATGATGAGGTTCATTAGGTAGATTTTAATTTAATATGTTAATGTCATTAAAAAAGTCAATTAATTCATTTTTATGCAGTAAATTAGACTTTTGTTTACTTGCAGGTAATAACACTGATAGAATCTGTCCTCGTTCCAAAAACGTCCCTCAGAATAGAAACGATATTGCCCAAGCATTAAATCTACAAGAAGCAGACGCAAGGGAGACTGGAATGACCACTTCTGGCTTATTAGCCGTCGTCAGCCAGTCATACCCAACCCCCAGTGATGCACCACCCGAGGCTATAACTCACGACATTTTCGATCAAAGTATAACGCCCTAACCATTGAGTCGCGGGCTCTTTGTCTGGCCGCTTTAAGTCGGGGTATTTGACATACTTTAATGAACTTTAACTGACGGAACTCATCTGTCCAATTCTGCCTTGGGTGGGTCACCTCTTGGGTCTGTGTATAACTGGCTAACTACGGTTAATAAGGCAGAAAGGGCCATTTCAGTCTCCTCTGTATTTTCCTGCAATACTGTTTGCCTAGAAACAAGTTGGTCGGTTACAGCTTCGTTCTTACCAACGCCAAGATGAAAGGAATGTAAGCTTTATGGATATAGGCTAGACCAAAAGTACTAACTTTTACCTTCTAGATTTTGAAACATTGTTTTCCCGGAAAAAATTTGAACAAGTCGAAGATCGCCAGATTAGCAGAATTTAACGAGGTCATACAATTTGGTGACCTCTCAGTCAGCTACAGACGGTAGTTGCCTATTAATAAGAGAATCAACTGTCCAATTAAGTATCAGCCCCGAAGGATGAAAATTGATAGGGAGTAGAAGCAATTAGTCATAGATGTGGGCGCATCGTGAGGGGTAGAGGAGGGGGGAGGTAATTGTCTCAGCATGGCAGTCCACGTTAGTGCATGTGCATGAAAGCCTGTAGGACGTGGTTAA